GAATTGGGAGTCTGACCAAAATTTTAAGTTTATCGAACCCGGCTTCCTTTCTCGCCGCCGTTGTCGGCGCGTTGGCTTGCCGGTTCTTGCCTCGCACGGGCTCGATTCCTTCCGTGAGCGCAGTTGAGTACCATCAGTCCGGCTCTTTTGGGATTTCGCGCAGTGAGGCGTCGGAGGACTCACTGCGCAAAACTCCCACTGACCTGGAGCAGCGGCGGCGGCGGACTGCGGCGGCGGGCGCGGGCGCGAACAGAGAACAGCGCACCTCTCTCTTTTAGAGGGGCTTCTCCAGACAGGTTTTGATGCAGCTGAGGGGCTTCTGACACTCGTCCGTCCAGGAAACGACCTTGTCCTGCTGCCAGAAGCCCCGTGCCTGCGCTACATCGACCCCCCGATTTGCGGTTTGGCAATTTGCCCCGTAGCTGCCTTTGTTTCTGCAAGGCGAGCCCCTCAAAGGAAACCCTTTTTTTGGAACCCTGTTTTGGAACCCTCGGTCGGTCGTCGGTCGGTGACGTCGTCAGCTCCGCCGTCGAGGAACTCGTCGCCGCAACAGCGGGTCGTAGACGTTTTTGGCCTTGGACATGTACACGACGAAGTTGGAGGCCGCGCCAAGGCGATACCGGCAGGCGCAGAGGAGCTCCGGCACAATGTTCCAAGGGCTTTACTGCCAGGACAGGGTGTACCCGTCTGCAGCCGCTGCTGACCAATCGACAGAAAGACCAGGATCTGCTGTTTGTACGGCGGGTGGTCAGGAGTAGCTGAGGCCGTCTCGTGTCCTGGTCTTCCGCCGAGCGATACGGCAGCAGCGCCGAGGCGACCCTGTGTGGAGGCAGCGCCAGCGCGCCCGCGATGGCCGTCTGGGGTTCTGGCCGCTTGCAGTAGTGTGTAAAAGGGGGCCTACAGTAACCTAATTCTTTTTCGGGTAGCGCGGCACTTTTTTGGGCAGAAGCGCGAGAGGCTGCGAGAGTGTGTTTTAGAGCGCTTCAGCAGATGCAAGAAAGGGGCTTGTAGTCCGCACAGAAGCGAGTTCATCGCCTCCCCAAAGTTCATCGCCTCCCTCCCGAGTTCCGCGCAACCTTCCCCGAATTTCATCGCCTCGCAAGGGGGGCCCCCCCGGCCTCATCGGCCCCCTCGGCCTCGAGTCATCCGCCCCCCTTGGCCTCGAGGCGCACCGGCCCACGCGCGCGCGCAAAGCGCTGCTCACATGCCAGACAACTGGTAAGAGTGCCCGGACGCGCGAATCGCTCAGCACTCCTCTCAGCAATGCGCATGTGCCAAACAGCTGGTAAGCGTACCCGTTCACGCGCACCCGCTCAGCTCTGCACACGTACCTTGCCGAGACAAAGTTGGGTGAGTTGAAAATGCATGAAACATGTACTTGTCCAAAACTGTCAGGTAGAAATCGGTGTTTGGGCGAGGCGAAACAAGGTTGCGGCTTGCTTTGCATGGCCTGCATGGCACTTCGTAACGCGTCTTTCTTTGTCTGCGATGACACGGCCGTCGGCCTGCTCTCGGCCCTTCTTTCTCTGCTTGGCCTGCTCGACCCTGGCCGGCCTGCTCGGCCTGCTCGACCTGCTGTTTCGGAATGGCCCCAAACACGTAAGATGCCTTTTGCCTCACAGCGGCGAGGCAGCCGCCAGCCTTGTTGCTGTTGCTGTTGCTCTTTTGTTGTTTTTGTTGTTGTTGTTGTTGTTGTTGTTGTTGTTGTTGTTGTTGTTGTTGTTGTTGTTGTTGTTGTTGTTGTTGTTGCTGTTGCTATTGTTGTTGCTGCTGCTGCTGCTGCTGTTGTTGTTGTTGTTGTTGTTGTTGTTGTTGTTGTTGTTGTTGTTGTTGCTGTTGCCGTTGTTGTTGGTGTTGTTGTTGCTGCTGTTGATGTTGCCGTTGCTGTTGCTGATGCCTTCGCTGTCGCTGTTGCTGATGCTTTCGTTGTCTCTGTTGCTGTTGCGGTTATTGTTCGTGTTGTCGTTGTTCTTTTTCTTGTGCTTGTTCTTGTTGGTGTTGGTGATATGTTGGTGTTCCTGTTGGTGTTTGATGTTGATGTTTGTTTTTGTCGTTGCTGCTTTTGGTTGTTGTTGTTGTTGCGGTTGCTGTTGCTCTTTTGTTGTTGTTGTTGTTGCTTATTGGGTGCTGTTGTTGTTGTGGTTGTTGTTGTTCTTGCGGTGTTATTGTTCTTGTTGCTGCTGTTGCTGTTGTTATTGCTGCTGCTCTTGCTGTTGTTGTTGCTGCAGCTGTTGTTGTTGCTGTTGGTACTGTTGTGGTTTGATTGTCGTTTGTTTGTTTTCTGTTGTCGGCGTCATTGCTGTGGCTTGTTGTTGTTTGTCGTTGTCCTTGCTGTTGTTCTTGTTCTTGTTTTTGTTCTTATTCTCTTGTTGTCGTTGCGGTTGTTGTTGCTGCTGTTGTGCTTGTTGTTGTTTGTATATGTTGATGTTGTTGCTGCTGCAGCTGTTGTTAATGTTGCAGCTGTCGCTGCTGCTGCTGCTGCTGCTGCTACTGCTGCTTTTGTTGTTGTTTGTCGCCGCTGTCGTTGTTGTTTTTGGCAGTGGTGGTTGGTTGTTGTCGCTAGCGGTAGTAGTGTTTTCGCGTGTTGTCATTTTTTGTTGTGTTTCTTGTCGCTTAATTCAAGACATCGTAATCTGAACGTTGTCGAAACTGTACATGCGGGCGCGCGAGTTGCGGACGTGCGAGTAGACGTAGTCATAAGAGTGGAGGTACGAGTGTGCAAGTAGGCGTGCGAGTTGACGTGCGAGTGGGCGAGCGCGTCTGCGAGTGGACGTACGAGTGGACGAGCGGACGCGCGAGTAGGCGTGCCAGCGGGCGTACGAACGCACAAGCGCACGCGCGAGCGGGCGTACAAGTGGACGAGCAGAAGGGCGACTGGACACGCGAGTAGGAGTAGTTTAGCATAATTTGTCGTAGCGCATGATGCCTCATCATCGCACCGTATCAGGAGCTATCATAGTTTATCATAGTTCATATTCAAAATTCATCATAGTTTAGCATCGCACCTTATCATAGTTTATCATAAGTTAGCATAGTTCAACATAGCTCATTATTTTTTTTGCTCATCATGACTTGTCATGAAGTACCAGAGTTCATTATAGCTTGTCATCATAGCTTACCATTTCTCATATGGTATCTTAGTTCATCATCGTAGCCTATCACAGTTGACCAAAGTTCTCATCACGCACCATAGTTCATCATCATAGCTCATCACAGTTTATCACAATCTAGCAAGTTCCTCATCATAGTTTTTGTCATAACTGACCATAGCCCGTCATCATAGGTGATCATCGTTTGTCACAATGCAACATATCTGTTCATGTCTATCATAGTTCCACACAGTGCCTCAGGGAGCTGCTCAACTACTTCTCCGACCGTTCATGACGAAGCGGACAAGACAGCGGCAATCAAGCTCATGCGCATGACATGCGCTGCGGCGCATGACGTGCTGAAAGGAAGCAGCGCCTAACCCTGAGCTCGAGGCCTCTTCCACACTACTTTGGCACCGACCTTTCCAGCCCAGACAGCCTTCCCGCTCCCTTGAGATCAACATGCTCGGCGAGACAACGCCTCAGGAACGTACCCAGGTTGAAGTTGGCAGTGGCAAGTCGCCTACCCCACTCGGCCGCATCCGGCTTGTGCTCTTCGACGAACTCTGAGACAGTAGTTCTCCTGAAAAGAACACCGCGGACGAGCGCGATCTTTGCGGCCCGCTCTCCGAGCGTGCGGTCGACTGTGCGCCGATGCCTCGCTTCGACTTCCTGCTTGGCATTCGCATTGCCGAAGCCATGGAAAAGATCCGGGGCGAGAAGTCGCAGGGCATCAAACATGACCTGGATGACATGCTGGCCATTGACGAGCACGTTTACAGGACGCACAACCGATGGGAGTGGGGGTCAGGAACTCCCGCCTCCTCACGTCCGCCTCGCCTGGTGACCCTTGGGACGATGGTTCATGGGGTCGACTGAACTAATCCAGAGGAGAGGGTGTGACAACCCGCGGGGCCGTGATGGATTCATTGGAGACACTCAGCTGCGCGAAGAGTGGTCGTTGCCCAGACTGCAGTCAAAGGTCGGATCTTCCTCCTCCTGGCAGGGCCAAATCCGTCGTAGACATGGCCCCCCACGCAACCGACGGCCGGACAAGCCGGCAAGTCAAGGCAACAGTAAATCAGGCGCAAGTACCACACCGCAATACAACAAGCAGTGCAAGGTTAGCCAGGCTTGAGCCAGGGGTAAACAGAGCCGCGCATGAGTGGATAACCTGAATCAAGCGCAGTCATGACGATGCAGTAGACCACGCGCGTTCCCCACCCAACCGCGCGTGCGCCGTCGTGACGCGCACACCTCCCCACCCCACCCACCCGCGCGTGCGCCGTCGTGACGCGCATCGTTGTGATGATGCAGTAGACCACGCGCGTCACCATCCCCACTCCTCTCTCCCCACCTGACGCTGCAGACACGTGCGTCGTGTAGATGGTCATGTCGATGGAGGTGGTGATGAGGATAATGACACACGTGTCGTCTGCATGATGATGGCGATGATGATGATGATGATGTTGATGATGTTGATGGCGATGGTGATGATGTAAGGTTGGCGATGATATTGACGGTGATGGTGATGTTGTTACAAGGTTGCGATGATGATGACGATGATGCTCGAAAAGCTGCAAAACACAATAACAATAACAAGAACAACAGCAAGAACAAGAACAACAACACCACCAACAACAACATTACCAGCAGCAGCAACAACAACAACAGCGCAACAGCAACAACAACAACAACAACAACAACAACAACCACAACCACAACCACAACCACAACAACAACAATAACAGCAGCAGCAGCAGCAGCAGCAGCAGCAACAACAACAGCAGCAAAAGCAACACCAGCAACAACAACAACAACAAAAACAACAACAACAGCAGCAGCAGCAGCAACAACCCTCATCTGCTTCCCCGCCCCCAAGCAGCCCCTCTTTTACCAGCTTTTCCTGAGGCTCAGCGACCCGTAGCACAGTGTTGGTGCTCGGAAAGGCGCGGGATTTGACCATGACGAATCCAGGCCCCACATGTGCCTCCAATCCCATCGCCTTACCTGCGGGCCTCAGGTAGTGCGTGCTAGGCTTTCCTTTGAAACCGCCAAGAAGTCCATATGCGCATGAGGAATGTTCCGCCTTTTTTAGACCGTGTTGTGGCCATAGTCCCAGATTGATGAGCAACCCAACCATGGTGCAAAACAGTTACGTCCCATTTCCAAGTGGCGATTTGCAGTTTGTGTGGCAGCGTTGCAAGTTGCATCGGCCAATAGCTTTCCAGTGTAGGCACATGGGTTGACACTTCCACCACCCCCGTGAAATGACCAGGTGTTTCGAGTGCGCCTGGCAGGATAGTTGCAGCAGCGCAGTAACGGCAAGTTGTGTTCGCGCTTTTTGGGCATTTGCATGTCCTAAGCAAGGAAAACCTCTTCAATCTCAAATTTACCTAAATATGATATGTTTCTCTTTGAGCAGGAAACCCTATTCAAATTCTCTTTGAAGTTGAGCATTACTAGAGTTTTCCTTATTAAGACATATTTCAATTCTAGTTAGAAACTGGAAACAACATCCTGAGAAAGGTCCGCTGGAAAACGGAGTTTGAAGAAAGAACCCCAGCTGCAGAAAACATTATTGACAGGAACCAATCTTCAATGTTTGTTCTAAAAAATGGAAGTAGGATTTGACACTTTTAATGTCTTAAAAAATCGAATTGGGGAGTTGGCAACTGTCAGCCCTAGAAAAAGAGGCCCCCCTTTTAAAATCTAATTTGAAATACAAATTCCATATAAAATATTGTCAAACCTACAAATGCTATTAGAGTCATTTCCTTAGGGAATGTTGTTTTAATCCTGGCCAAGCAAATGAAAATAGAACGTGTTAAGCTCTGGTTTCGCAAAACGCTTCTAATTACAAATCTTTTGCGGAAGGGGAAACCTGGTTCTTTAAACGAAAAAACTGAGTAGAATAATTTCCGTATTAAATTCGAGTTGAATTCCATCAGAAAGTTAAAAGAAAAGGAGACCCCCTTTTACAGTTAATTTGAAAGAAAAGCAATCCGATTAAATATAGTCACTGAAAAGCAGACGGCAGACCCTATATGCTAGTTTCTCAAGTAGTGTTTACACTAGGGGGTTCCTACGGTAAGAGGTAAAGGTTGGGTTAGATTGAAGGTTCGCACTCAAAGTGTGGGCCCTGCGCGCGCAGTGGCGCCGCGCGAATTTTACGCAAGGCGGCCTCGCGCCAAAGGCGCGTTTTTTCGGCAAGGTGCATTTTTCGATGGCAGGGACATGGCCCGCCGCCTCGAAATTCGCAAGCCTTAAGTACAAAAGTTGTGCGCAAAGTGCGCTCCCGCAACTCCAGCTGCCAAATCGTAAGCTTTAAGTGCAAAAGAAGTACGCGAAGAGCCTTTTTCCGCAGCTTCGGCTGCAAAGTCGAAACTCTACGTGGCAATGTAGTATGCGCAGTCCGTTCTCTATGCTTGCGAAAGATTTTGGAAGTTGTCTCGCGGTTTGCGCGCCTGCTCAATCAATCGCACGCGCTCGCGTTCCACCCTTGGCCGCGGCAGCACACTCCCTCTCTCTCTTTTTGTCTCTGTCTTTGTCTGCCTGCAATGGTCGAACGGCAGCAGCAGCAGCAGCAGCAGCAATGCCGATGTGCGTAGCGCTTACTTCTGGCTACTAGCATTGCGCCCTGTGTGCTGAAATGGTCTGTATGTTTCCGTGCCCGCGGGAAGTGGGACCTGGGCAAGCCATACCCCCGAACCATACCCCGATTCATACCCCCGAAAAAAAACCGGATAGGAGTCTTCAAAAACTGTTGACAGCCTTAGCTAAGAGTATGCAAGTAGGGCTGTCCTGCAAGTAACGCAATAAACTGTCTGTGCCCAAGCAGCGTTCTACTCTAACTGGCTTTTAGGGTGAGAGCTACAGGTTAGCTCACAGTTCGTCACGCTGGTGCGACGCTCGCGTAATTGCATGGCTCCCGCGACTGTTTGTCCCAGATGCGCTTCGCTGCTGCGTCAAGGGGTGGACTTGCGCCCTCGCGCCATGCGGAGCAATGGAGCAGAGGGTGTCGACCCGCGCAGCGTCGACCCGCGCAAAGTCGGCAAAGGTCTGGTCCCGTGGCCAAACCCTCAACCGCATAGCAGGAAGGGCGAGATGTCCGTCGCAGAGTTTTCAATCCTCCTTGGTCAATTTTTCGACCCGCGCCGGAGCGGCAGCATGTTCCAAGAGCAAGGGCGCTGCCATTGCAAGCTTTCTCGGCCATGCCCGTTTTGTGTCTTTCCGTTAGCAAAAATCTTCCCTGCGATTTATACCCCCGACCCACACCCGATTCACACCCCGAGTCATACCGTTTCGCAACCATCTGCAACCAAGAGCCTCTCGCGCTCTGGGCAGCAATGGTGAAGCTACAGGGCCCAGTTCTTCAGAAGCCAGTACAAACAAAGGACCGCGAAGCTTCTTCAAAGGACCGCTTAGGCGTTTTGGCTCATTGCCCCTAGCTAAGACCCAAGAGAGGGTAGTGCTTCAGCCATTACCCCTCGTGAAGTGCCATCTCTTCACTCGCTGATCTGCCACGGCCCTTCGGCGTTCTGAACCTGCTTGGCACCGACGACTCAGGAGGACACGTTGCAAAGCTAAGCTTTTTTTCTCAGGCCAGTCAAACGGGGGTACGTTTGCAGTCAACCTTTGAGATTTGCCTCAGCCCAACGTGTTCTACGGTCTCATCACTCCTGGAACCCTGAGATGTCAAAATGGCAGTGCGCCTTTTGCTGGGTGGTCAATGCATGGCATGCTGCTTTTTGTTCCAGTTGTGGACAACACTGGCAAGCAGCTGCCTTACCCAGAAACCTATCAGGACAATGGAGCCAACAAGCACAGATCCCACAGCAAAGGAAAAGGCAAAGGCAAAGGCAAGACCAAAACCAACAGTGGCAATGCGCGACCGCCAAGGAGATCAACTCCCAAAAGAAAAGCTGCGCCAACCAGCGAAGCATGCCCGGTCTTTCATGCACCGCCAGCCAAGAGTGGCAAACCAGTGCCAGCAGCCGACACTGCTCCAGCCCCGTATGTCACCCCGGCAAAAGAAGAACCCTTTGCACCGGAATCCAGCCGACACAGCAGCAACCTTTCTCCCAGATCCATGATGAGCTGGGACCAGATCACTGCACCTGGCGACAACAAAATCGATCAGGATATCATGGAGCCCAAAACCGCCATCGCAAGCGAAGACCCAATTCTTGCTACAGCCAAGAACGAGGTGATCAAAGCACTGCAGCAGATTGGTTCGGAAATCATCCTGCCACCTGTTCTGCAGAAGTTGATCGATGGCGAGCCGGCCGCCAAGTCAACTCCAGCCGACATACATCGCACAGCACGCAGCCTTGCAAAGGCACAGAAAATGAAACAGAAAGCCACAGATGTCATCGAACAGCTCGAAGACGAATGGCTCAAGTTCACAAAAGCCATGAAAGAGCAGTTCCTGACCAAAAAAGACGAATACAACGAATCACACGCTGCGTGGACAACGGCCTTGCAGTCTGCACAGCGCGAAGAAATGGAGGCGCTTGCCCAACTGGCAGCCCTCAGCCGCGAAAATGCCTGCAACCAGACCAACTGGCCTGGGCAAGGCTCCGATACCAGCGACAGCCAAGTGGTAATCGACATGCCCGAGTTCAAGCCCCCACCTGCACCCAGCGCAACAGAACAAGCTGTCTCGCAAGACCTAATCCAGACGCCAACCTCGCCACCGGATACCATCCCTGCCGAGGAAACGACAATGGAGTGTCAGCCAGAGAAACAGCCGCGAAGAACCAGCCGGACATGCAATCCCAAAGAGCCCAAGCCCAAAAAGCCCAAACCAAACAGCCAGCTGCAATTTCCAGGCCGAGAGCGAAGCCGCAGCAACAACAGCAACCGGTTTCAACCCCTGAGCGAAGATGCCGAGGGCGAGGAGGGCTGCCCCAAACAGGGGAAGCTCAATTCCAGCGTGCTGTGAGAAGGCCACAGCACCTGAAAAGCCCAAGCCTGCACTTCCGCTGTGTGTCAACCCAAGCCCTGCAAAGAGCCATGAGACCCAGCCGATCTAGGTCACCCATGCGCAATGTGGAGTGCATAGTGCTGCCGCAAGGCACTGAATTGGTCATGCAAAGCGAGCGCATCTATATGTGGAGTCGCACACTGGATCATGCTGAGCCCAAGTGTGCCCGGGCGCCCATGCCCCATGATCACTCGCATTTGCGTTTAGGTCAGTTCAACCCCAATCTGCAGGTCGAATTTTGCTATGACTCCCTCAATGCTGGAAGAAATAGCCAAGGGTCTTGCGCTAGCAGTCTTGGTAAACCCAATCAGTTGGCCATGCGGGGAATTTTCCAATTGCTGGAAAATATGTGCGTTCCAAAATACACACATGTTAAAGCGCATAGCGGAGACCCGCTGAGGCAGGGTGCCAACATTGATTGCTGATCTTCAGATAAGCTTGGGTACTTCACGTCCTTACTCATGGCTTTATGCACGAGCCACATCCACTGCAAAGCATCATGGTGCTTGGCCACTTGCTGAATTTGATGGCTCAGCTGTTCGCTGCATGGGATCACTCCTGTCCGTCATAGTCAACTCCTCACTGCATGTTAAGCAATCGAGCTACGCACAGCCTGCGTCACTCACATGATGACCAGCCGAGTGTCAGCCTGCGCATGGCCACAGCCAGTTGCAACGCTCAAGCCAGCCTTTTTCCAAAAAGCTAGCAAGAAGCATGCGCCCAGGCCTGAACCCCCCACCAACCCAAGAGAAGAGTGGTTAATGCAGCAATTTCGCGATGCACAATTGCATGTTGTTGGACTGCAGGAAACACGTTCTAGGCACGAGCGCTGCATCAGTGTCAATGGCTGGCTCCGGATCCACACTGCTGCCCATCCATGGGCAGGGAGGAGTCGGCTTGTGGGTGAGTCTCAACCTGCCATATGGGCAGACGTCTGATGGGCGGGAGCTCGTCTTCCGG